TAGCCATTTTAATTGAAATGTTTCCCCTATATTTTCTTCCAGTAGCTTCACAGTTTTTTGTCTTTGATCCACTTTGAGTTGCTATATGGCAGCTATGGCATCATGCTGCAACAGGCTGTTAGCAATGAAAGGTTCACTATCACTGCTATAGGGTAAAACGTAGGAGTCAAGTTTCACTATTCTGCATGTGAATATTCCAGTTCTAGCACCATTTATTGAAGAGACTTCTCTTTAACAATATGTTTTTGGACATTTGTCTAGAATTGGTTGACTGTAAGTACATGGGACTTATTCAAGGTACTCTGTCGTGTTCCATTGGTCTATTTATCTGTTTTGTTTTTTGGGTTTTTTTATGTTAGAATCATGCTGTTTGTCTTACTGTAGCTTTGCAGTATGTTTTGAAGTTGAGAGTAGCTTACTTTGACTACTTAGGATCTTTTGTGCTTCTGTATGAATTTTTAAGATTGCTTTATCTAGTCTTGTAAAGAAATAAGTCTTTGCCTGCAGGCTGTACACATATTTCGTATGACTTCTTTTCTTGATCTTAGTTACTTTTCCATTATTGATGAGACAAAAACTTTACACCCAAAGACAATAGGAAAAAAGTTTATTTAGCACACGGTTTGTAGAGGTTTCATAATTGGCTGGCTCCAAGGCAGGATGGCACATGGCAGAGGGACAGTTCATGGAAGTGGAAAATCAACTGAGGGACAGTTCATGGAAGTGGAAAGTCAACTGACCCTTAGCAGTGTCTTTCTGCCCCTTTTATCTTCTATCCAGGCTTCTGGGACTAAGGCAGTGCCAACCCACTGTGGGCTGATCCAGCCGTCACCTACCCTTAATCCCAGCATTGCACACACTCTACATTCAGCCACCTGCAAAAAAAGCCCATCTTACATTGCATGAGACTTGGGGTGGCGGGGAATCTAGATATAAACTATAGCAATCAGTAAATATTATACTCCTCCATGCCAGAAATATCTAGACTTTGAGTATAAGATCCTTGGATGAGAATCACAGCTGGTAGTTCAAGAAGGGTTTGGTGTCCTTGCAGGTAGGATTACACAGATGGACGACTCAGTCAACGTCTTGGAGCCCAGCTCATTTAATTGGTTGTGTGAATGCAAGTGGATATCCATGAAGAGACTATACTTTTGATGTTTTAAACTCCACACTCATTGGCTAAAGCCTGAGAGTACTTGATAACACTTCATACAGCATTTCAGCGAAATCACTGGTAAATTTTGTTCTTCTCCCTCTCTCACAGAGCCCTTTGCTAATCTCATTGTTTTGCGAGCACAGGCAGTTCATTGGGCCAGCTATAGACTGCCAGACCAGTTTGAGTAACCATCCTTCCCAAATCTGAGCACCTGCCACTTAAGGATAGGAGTACTTTCTACTGAGCACAGACGTGGGCAGTTGAAAACATTACCTTGCTTGTCTTCCCAAGTGGAAAATGATGCTGTTCTTTCAGAATGTGGTCTATAAAATACTGGATGAGAAGAGCTATGGGATCACACTTGTCAGTAATGTCCCATTTTATTATAGGTGTTTTTCCTCACTACCTGTGGTAGTTACTGTACTGCAGATACTGAGTGAAAGCAACAGTCATTTCTACTCTATCTCTCTCCCATCTCTTCATTTGCTCCTCATATTAAAGGGTGGGTGAACCAACATTTGATATCGTGTTTGTGAGGGGCTTTGTGAGTAGGTACCTTGCTGAGCAGCATTACTGGGCCTTCTTACCTGGAAAGCCACATCTTGGGGGATCTGCTTCCAACCCTGTGGTACTACTCTTGACCTTTGGGGTTTGATATTTAGCAGTTTATATTTTGAGTATGAAATGTCCTGAGATCTCAGCTCAGGAAGGTCCTTAAGAGGTAGTCCTGAACTTCTTTAAGAGTTTCAGAGATTCTTAGTGTTAGCATTGATATTCTAAGTGCTGTATTCTGCTTCTCTGGTTGAATTTGGAAGTTGTGCACTTTGAACTCCTTGGGTTGTTTCTGTGGTGGCTGCCACTACATTCCTACCCCACTGGCACTTCCATGAGCAGCAGGTCCTTGAACTGTCATGCATCAGGCCCACATGGAACAGGGCACCCACAGATTGTAGGGTTCTAGCTCACAGGACTGCAGCCATCTTTGTGCCACCCATATTTCTTAAACTTTGAAGATCACATCCCTTTAAAAATCACTCTGAATTCTCTATAAGTTCAACTATTCAGAAGTTTGTACTGACTCATGAGTCATTTGAGCCACATACAGAATATTCATGTTCTGTGCCAGTAGATGAATTCACAGCTTCCCTTGCAAGAGCATCCTGGGCTAACTGGACATTTGCAACTGCAGATATCAAAAACAAGAAATGAAATATTTTCCATTATAATGGGATCGTAAAATTTCCTGCCTGTGAAGTTGGTATTTTTCTTTACCCTTTAAAATATATTCTTCAGTTAATAGGCTAAACACCTGGTTACAAAGATCTGATCACTTGCTCATTCATCCAAGAATACATTTGTTTAAGTCCTACATTGAGAAAACTTTAATGACGCAACAAAGGAAAGAAAAATTTAGGTAGGGTTTTGCCAACCTGCCATCTTAATTGCTCTCCAATCCAGTCACATTTTGTTGTGATCCAACTCTGTAGCTTTTAATAAAGTCTGGAAATGTTTGTTTCAGTAATCAGGGACAAGTTGGCCATATTTGCTAAATAGATGAAATTGTACTATAGATCATTTGCTGTAGTTTTTTACATACCAAAACTGTTTTCTCTCCCTCTCCCTCTCCCTCTCCCTTTCTCTCCCTCTCTCTTTCCCTCTCTCCCTCCCTCTCTCACTCTCTCCCTCTCTCCCTCTCTTCCTCTCTCTCTCTCCTTTCTCTCCTTTGTCTTTTCTCTTTCTCTTTCTCTGTAGTTCAGGCTGGCCTTTCGCTCACTGTTAGAGCCCCAGGCTGGTCTCAAACTCATAGAGATCCTCTTGTCTCAACCTCCCAAGCGATCACAACCATGCCCTGTCCTGGGGCTGGCACAGCATTTGGGTCTGGTTATTGAACTTGGGACTTATTGCTTGCCAGGTAGGTATAGAAACATAAAATAACATTTATTGAAATAGTTGGAGAGAGTACAGGCATTTTTAGAGGAAATATTCAGATACGTTTTGGGAAGAACAATGAGAAATAAGCTTTATTAGAATTTAAGGATGGCATTATTCATTTCTGATGTACAGACTTCTTCATTCCTTCTTGTACCACTCCAGTGGACCTTCAGGGCAACTCAAAGGTCCAAGGACTTCCTGTGCCTCTGTAACATCTCACACTCTTCTTCGCTCAGCTTGATATTTTGTGTTTTTTATATAATACTTTCCAGTAGTAAGAATTATGATTGAAATAAACTGTCACCGAGTAAGCAGTGATAAATCAGAAGGTTAGAAAAGAGTTAAAAGACAATCTCTCACCTTTCTAGGAACCGTTAGTGGGAAAAGACAATGCCTTCAGTTCCCATAAAACTCAAAGCTTAGACTCCACTGAGCACAGCTCAGAGTTGTAGTGATCCTCCTGTTTTCAGCCTCCCCAGTGCTGGAATAACAGGCATGTGCCACCACTTGGTGACTGGTTCAGCCTGGTACAGCAAGTGGTGCTGGGAATCGAACCCCAGTCCCTGGAGTTGCCTAAGCAGGCTCTTAGTCCACTGAGCTATCTCACTGGCCCTCCACTGATTTTATTGTTTGGTCACAAAACAAGTTTGAGCAACAAGCAAAGACTTTCTGTTGGGCCAAAAATGATAGCTCAGTGGAATAAGTGCTTCACTGGCAAATGCAAGGTCCTGAGTTCAATCCCAAGACTTCCTGTAAATCTTAAAATACATATAAAATGAAAACATAAAAGAAACCTTTTTTCAAATATTTATCTACTTAATTTTTTTTTTCTCTGAATGCCTTCAGGGCAGGTTTGGCTGGCTTGAGTTGTGGGGATCAAACCACAGCAACCTGAGCCTGACTGCTTTGTTGAAGCAGACACTTAAAGAACTGAGCTAAGGGGCAGGCCCCCTTATCTACTTAATTTGAAAAATATTTATAATTATAATTTTGTACCATTGAAGCTAACTTGAACAAGGTATGTTTTTAAATATCTAGACTTTCAGATTTCTAACAATAGCAAAAGTTAACAACGAAATTACTTTTAAAGTTTTCTAAACTAATCTGATTTCTATGTCAACAAAGCCCTCAATGGATTAAAAATAGAATGGCTTCTGGAAAGAAATGTGTTTGTTTTGTTTTATCCCCAGTCTAACTTTTTTGTATATCCCTGTATGTGCTTTGCTGTGTAATAACTTTATCAGTCGTACACTTACATTGTCCAGTGGCACAGTTGAAATCACAGAGTTAATAATAACGGCTTGCTACATTGTTGGCACAAAGTCAGCGTTGGTGCTCAGAGTCAGGATCCTCGTGTATTGTCCCCCTTCCTTGGACGACATCTTGGGCACCGTGGAAATGAGGGGAGAAAGAAGATTTGGATGAAAGTTCTGCTCAGTCCTTTGGCATGCAATTCAGTTGTCATATTTGTCAGAGTTAATCAAGGGGCACAAGGTAGTTTTTAAAAATTATTTATAAAAACTGTAACCAGAGGATCTGGCACTATCATAAAATTTATAGAACTTTTTAAAAATTTATGTCTTATGGATCCTGGGGGAGGTCAACATTTAGAGCAGTAGTGCTTTTATATCTTTGGGTTTGGTAGCTTCTAGGCTTCTCTCTCATTCCATATGAAGTATAATGGTCTTTTTCACTAACACAGCATAAGTTGACATCTTTTGATGAATTTATTTAAAGCAAAAAGCTTTTTTCCTTTGGTGAAGAAAAAATTGATGGTTAAAATGAAATTATTCATACCAGGCACTATTCCTAAACCACCCAGCCTAACAATGAATTGACTGATTGTAATGCAGTTTTTTTTTATGCTTAGAATTAAATTTTATAATTCTGTGGTATTTATTTATTTTAGGATGTAATTAAAGCCATTGTACGGAGTGGTGGCATCAAGCATCTAGTTACCATGGCAACTAGTGAACATGTAATAATGCAGAATGAAGCCCTTGTTGCTTTGGCACTTATAGCAGCTTTAGAATTGGGTAAGTACCTCAGTGACAATTTTATTTTCTCCTGTTCCTATCTTGCATGAAGGAAGCACAAAGTTTTGAAGTCAGAACCTGGATAACTGGAAGTATTTGGCAGTGTGTCCAATTTTAAATAGGTGTGTACCAGAGTGGTTTCTTTTGGTTGTACTTCTGGTAATATTTAGGCTAACATTTTATGGCTAGTTTGACTTTTAAGTAACATCTCAAGTTATAGCCTCTTAGAGACTATAGAAAATATTTTCAGCAGGCCTTACAGAGATTACTTGAGGTAAAGTGCGCTACAGGTTAACTCTATAGTTGCAGTTCAAGAATTTGCAATGCATAAAAAATGCTTTAATCAACTCAGATTGGAAAAACCAAAAGCATGTTTCCCAATTAGGTAAACCTTGTAATTTGATTTTTCCTGTAAACCTCTGCAAGCCCTGTAGGACTTTGCTCCATTGAGCCACATGCTGGAGCTGTCCCTTGAGCTGGCTCCCTTCATGCTCCCTTTGAAATGAAAAGAGGGGCTGGGGAGATGGCTCGGTAGAATAAGCACTCACCTGGCAAGCACAAGGGCCTGAGTTTAATCCCTGGTACCTCAAAAAAAAAAAAAAAAAAAGGAGAAGGAGAAATGAAAAGAGGAATCCCTGCCATGGGAGGCACCCATGGTTTCGATTGTCTCAGTCTCTTGCTTTTCTTCTAGACCAGCTGCTGGGCTCGCTAGCTGGCTGCTCAGGCATCTTTTAATCTAGGTCCCCAGCTGAGTCCAGGAAACCTCTAAGACTCACACTTCAGTTTGCTCACTCACACACAATTATGTATTTTCCTTGCACCCCACCCTTGAGACTCACACCCTTAGTTCTGCTCCTACACATATTCCCACACCTCTCCTTTCCTAGTTGTTTTTCTCCAGGTGCAGGATCCCTAAGCCTCCCCAAGTGGGCCACTCCTGAAATTCCAACACTCCCTGTTTACAGGTCACTCCCACCGTGAGTCTTCTGCCCTGCTGGCCTGCATTTCCTATTTGGGATGTAGGTTTGCTTAGATTCCCTCTAAGTCTGGATGCACAGTGCAACTCCCTGCTAGTTGCTTTCATTAAGGGCCTGTCTTTTGAGTTGTTAGCAATTCTGGCCATGGGCCTCACCTGCATTCCTATTCAGGTGAAAGGTTTCATCTGATGTGGTCTGGATCCTATTGGACTGACCATAAACCTCACAGGCCACTCTCGTGTCCCTAGCACACATATAAGCCATTTCCCATTTGCAGCCCACTTCTGCTTGGAAGTGTTTGTTGCAGTCTGATTTTAATCTGGGTCAGATTACTAGGTATTCTGTCCCCTTCTACCCTAACAGAGCTGTTCCTGAGTTGTCCTGACCCTCTCTATAACCTTCTCTAGGTTCTGGTTACAGTGGTGGGAGAGGGGAAGCTCCTAGCTGTGGCAGTCCCAGTACTCTCTGGGAGGCTAGACTTTATGCCAGAGGGTAAAAGGAGGCAGCAGTCCTGTCTGTGGTCACCAGAAAATGTTACAGAATTTCCAAGAAGCTCTAGAGACCAGGAGGGATTACAGCAGGGCTTTATTAGTGTGCGATCCAGCCACTAGACATACTCAAAACCTGGTTGGGCCCTGAGCCAAGAAGTCCCTTGTATATAATTTGTGACACAAGTGAGTACAGATGCAGAAGTGAAACAAAGGCAGTTAGTGATCCTAGCAGCTAACCCTATCTTAACCTGGAAAGAAAACATATCCTGTGCATCTCAGGATGTTAGGATGCTGGAAAGTTTTATCAGTGTTGGTATCAGCATTATCCTGGTAAGGGTGGAGATTCCCATGAGAGAACTGGTAGATGTGTCTCTCTAATCTGTGAGAACACCGCATGACTGGAATGAGAAAGCAAGTTCACATTCTTGAGGAAGGAAGGAAAGGATAGAGGAAATAGAGGAAGTGCTTGCCCAGAGCAAGGGAGATTTTTACACAGGGAAAAGAGAATAAAGGCTTGGTTTCTCTGGAGTTCTGCCTTACTATGACCCAGACTTTTTTTGTTTTGTCCCTACTGGTTTTACTACTCTCCTAGTAATCTTCTCTACCACCAGTTTCTGGTGTTTTGTAGCATTGCCCTCATTTCATAAATTTTCATCTTATGTGTCACTCTTCTGTATTCTCATTTCCAAGGGCTGTTGCAACTCCAGTTACGAGCTGAGGGCTCACACTCCTTTACGCAGCCTTCAAGTCTCTCTCCTGTACATGTGCGTATCTCATGTCCTTAGACATCGGCACAGCATTTCTCAACCCCATACAGGAAAGGATGTTGTAATGTTCCTTCTAGAACTCTTTAATTGCAGCCACCTTGCATTCAGGATATTGGTTGTAAGTGTCAGGCTGGTTATAACTATTTGATGTATAGAACTACTCTTTTGGAGTCTACATGATTCCATTTGTTTCTAGCATACAGCATCCTTCTGGGCAACATTCTCCATGAGAAGCCAGCCCATATACACCTAGTGTATGGGTAGCTGAGAAACCAACCCAGTTACGGTGAGCCAGAGTTAGTACATTACAACCATGTAGCCCATAGTTAAGGCCCTACGGCTGCTTTACACAAAGGAAAACTATGAATTTCTTGTCCTTTCAAGTTCAAAGCCATTTTGGAAAATACTGTTAATTCATCACTTAATTCCTTTCAATGATGAGAGGGGTTCACCCATTCCAATCTCAGGAAGAAACCAAACATATATATATATACAAACATAGCTTTCTCCAATTTTTTTTTCTTTTAATGTATTTAGTACAGGGTCTACAGGGTCTCACTACATAGATCCGACTCGTAGTGATTCTCCTGTTTTCAGCCTCCCAAACACTGGGATTACAGGCGTGCACCACCACACCCAGTCTCAATCTTTCTCCAGTTTTAAGTATAAAAACATTTAGTTTTCATCTTTGTGAAAGATTTTGATTTTTTTTTTTTTTTTTTTTTTTTTTTTTTTTTTTTTGTATTTGGTTGTTACAGGGTCTCACTGCACAGCTTGGATTCAGTGATCCTCCTGTTTTTCAGCTTCACCAGCTCTGGGATTACAGGCATATACAACTATGCCCAGACTCTAGCCTGGCTCAGCCCGCCCTATGGCTAGGTGCTAGGGATGGACCTGGACTTGTCTAAACTTGCCGAAGCAGGCACTTTAGTCCACTGAGCTATCTCGCCAGCACCAAGGTTTTGAATTTTTCAGCAGTTTATAATTATTTTTTAAAATTATAGGCATAAGATATAAAATTGCTGTTATTTTAAAGATAACATACAGTACTTCAGGAACATTTATTTATGCTTACTAAGCAGAAACCCTAAAATAACTGTAGGCTTTTTGTTCAATAAAGCTGCAGTCATTCCTTTCTCTGTCACTGAGCCCAGCTAAACTATATGTATTTAATGAAATACATATAGTTTCATCAAATTGAAACTTCCATGAATGTGCTAAAAACTTTATTGCATATATCACAAAAGGCCCATTGTACCCTGGCCTTCATCAGAGGCTTATCTTGTTATAACTTTTCTCCAGCTTATAAACAGACAGACTCTCTCTGACCCTCACTTCAGATTTTGGACATTACTCCTCTGGGGTCCACTAGAAGGAACAAAATTTCCTTTCTTCTCCTGAGCTCCTGGCTATAGTTGATTGACTTTTTCCCACAACAATTTCTAATGCATTGGAACAGGAAATGAGAAGAGACAGCTACAGCTCTGCACTGCCTTTGCTGTGAGTCGTGGAGATGGGTCTTCCCACTCCATGTCCTACCACTCCCTGTCCTGGCAGCATTTGGACAGGAGGCATGTCCCTCTGAGTTCTGAGGTCCCCTCTGCACCCTCTGGGACACAGATGGGGACACACTCTCCTCCATCACCAGCTGTAAAGGAGGGTAAATCTGAGTCGCAGTAAGGCCATCCTGTTTTCTATTCTCTGCTAGCCTATCCTAAATCAGGGATGGAAGGGAAGCCTGATTATCTCCTAGTTAGTTTCTGTTTTCTGCGTAGAATATTTTAACCTCTGACTGAATGTACAGCATCCCTGGTGAATCCAGCTGCTTTGGATGATCAGTTCTGTAGCTTCATGGCTTTCAGCTACAGAGTTCAAATGGGCTTTTCCTGTGGTTCTGTGGCTGACACGTGGCAACTCAAGCCTCTTAGTGGGGGGCGTCACTGGACTGGTCTCAGAAAATATAAGTGCACTTATTGCTAAGATAGTCCTTCATCCTCAAGAGGAGACTGGCTAGGCAAACATCAAACTGGTTCTATATCAAAGAGGAAACCCCTCTTTGTCTCTTGTGTCTCTGAACAAGGAAATAGTACATACATGTAGAGAGATAGGATTGGATCTAATGAGTCAAAGCCTACAAATTTGGAATATTTCCTAAAGAATTTTAAAAGGTTTTTTTTTTGTTTTGTTTTTTTGGTTTTTTGGTTTTTTTTTTTTTTTTTTTTTTTTTTGGTGATTGTGGAGTTAAAATGAAACCAAATTGGCTCCACAACTCTATGAGATCAGTTGGCCAAAATTTACTCAACTTGGCCCCCTGAAGAGACATTGGATAGAAGAGAAATTCGCTGTCTAGGAGGCAGTGAAAGATCTGGGGCTCAAAGGCAGCCTGGACCAACTTCCCTACATTGATTTCTGGCTGAATTTGATGTTTCCCTCCTTGGCTCCACTCTTGCATCCTGGGCCAACCAAATGGCATCCTTCTGATAAAGCTTCATGGCCATGGTAACAAAAAGGGACTCACTATTTCACCAACAGGAAGCCTGTCCTCCCTGAAGACTCCTCTAGTTCAGAGTGCTGCAACCCCATGGCCCACTCCTGAGCTCCTGGCTGCTATTGATTCAGTTTTTCCTGGAATGCTTACTCTCAGAGATTTTGTCTGTGATTAAGAATGCTTTGGAGATCCTGACTTAGCCTCACGTAATTTAGGTAGAGTACATGAGTGTCAAAAGTGCAGTTACCTTTCAGTGGGGAAGTTAGAATCAGTGAGTCCATGTCATATCCAGTGGGGCAAATGGCCTAACAGCTCAAAGTGATAGGGCATGGAAAGAGTGTTCTTGGTTGCTGACCCTAGGACAAATCTTGTTTTGTGCTCTAAGTAATATCTTCCAACCAAGCTGCAGAATCATCAGCTTCTTGATAGCTGAGCAGTTGCTTTGTTCTGGTTACCTTAATCATGTAAATATATACCATAGTTCCAGGGCTGGGGAGATAGCTCAAGGGCATGAGTGCCTGCCTGGTAAGCTCAAGATCTGGAGTTCAGTCCCCAGTACCACAAAGTAAATATATACCATAGTTCCTTTGTTACCTAACACTCTGGATTTGTTAAGCTTGAGATTTAAAAATAAACTTACCCTACCTTTTTAGTGCATAGCATGCTGTTGTGGGATTTAAGAGAGAGGAGAGACTGAATAAGAGGAGGATTTTATCATTAGATGTTCATTGGCTCAGCAGATAAAGCCAAAATGGCTGATCGTTGGACAAAAGACAGGTTCCAGCTTTCACACATTTGGTCAGGGAGTTGGTCTTTGGGATGGAACTTGTGGGTGGGCAAAAGAACACAGTGGTTTCTCAAGCTGTGATGGTTTGTATCTCAGTGGCCCTGCTCACAGGATATTCCAAGAGTTATAAAGTTATGAGGTCTAACTCACAGGGATAAAAGTTAACTGATTGAGTGCTTTGAAAACTTTATTTTCCCAGGCTTATATCCTTACAGGCTAATTGATATTACTAAGAAGGTATCATTATAAGTGTTTGTATATTAAAGCATTTTAAAGACTTCTCTTAAAAATACAATTGTAGTTTCATGTGCAGTTGAAAGAAGAGGTCTTTATAACTACAACTCATATCTTCCACTCTGTCCCTAAGCCTCTAATCTGCCTTTCACTCTAAAACTGTCATTTTAAAGTGTTACAAATTAGGTCATAAATTATGTTTTTGGGGGAGTAGCTCTTTTTTTTTTTTTTTTTTTTTTTTTGCTGTATAATTCCAAGAGTCATCTAATTTCTTGTATCAATTTATACCATTGTGTAAAGTTCCATGGTGCGTATGTACTGGTTTATTTATCCAGCTGCCATCTAAACTGATTCCAGTTTCAGGCTTCAACAAATGAAAAGCTGCCCTAATTTTTTTTCCCCTAAATATTTGAGAACACATCCATTTCTTTTCTTTTTCAAAATCGATACACCATTTTGTATCCCCACCAGCAATGAGTAACCAGTTTTCACTTCATCTTTGCCAACATTTGATATTGTTACTGTTTTTTCGCTATTCTGACACATATGTTGTGATCTTCTTGTGATTTTTAATTACCATTTCCTTAATGGCTAATGATACTGAACATCTTTCTCTGTACTTCTATGCCATATATATTATGTGGTGAAATCCTTGTGTATATCTTTTGCCGATTTTCTAATTTGTTTTTTAACTGTTGTGTCTTGAAAGCTCTTTATTCTAAAGTTATAAGTCTGTGATCCATTTTGAGTACTGTCTTTATGACCTGTAAAATTTAGGTCAAGGTTCTTGTGGGGCAGCACATGCTAGCTAATTGCTCTAATTATACTCTTGACAAAACTGTCTTTAAATGAGTTGTACCATTATCAAAATCAGTTGAGCATATATGTATGAGTCTATCTGGGGATTCTCTTTTCAGTTCCTTTGATCTATATATTTCTGTTCTTCATCAGTAATATCACACTATTTACAGTATGCCTTACATTGCATAGAAAGCTTTCTTCCACTTTATTTTTTTTCAAGTTTTAGATGTTCTAAAGCTTGTGGCTTTCTGTGTAAATTTTAATATAAGCTTGTCTTTTCAATGGAAAGTTTTTGTGGGATTTCAATGGGAGTTTCACTGAATTCTCAGCTGTTTAAAATTCATACTAAAATATATGTACAAGAAATTAAATGATTTTTATGTAAGATATGCTTCACAATAATTTGGGATTGGTGGGAGTAGATGGATAGAAACAAGATTGGCGATGAGAGTATGATATGATATTATCTACTTGTCCTTTTTTTTTTTATTTATGGAATTGGTACAGGGTCTCACTATGCAGCTGAACTCATAATGATCCTCCTGTTTTCAGTCTCTTCAATGCTAGTATTACAGGCATGCGTCACCATGTCCAGACTCGGTCGCCTGCTCCATGCACCCCAGGGGCAGGGCCAGTGCAGCATGCAGGACCAGGGATTGAACCCTGGTCCCTGTGCTTGCCAAAGCAGCCCCTTAGTCCACTGAGGTCTCTCATACTTGTCCCTTTTGGAGGATTTTTACCTGTGTTTCTAGAAGAGAAAGCAGTGGTTGATGATTATTGTTCTGGTTCTCAGTTTATCCACAGTAAATATAACTTGAGCTTTGTTTCATATCCTAGGCACAGCTGAGAAAGATCTAGAAAGTGCTAAGCTTGTACAGATTTTACACAGACTACTAGCAGATGAGAGAAGTGCTCCTGAAATCAAATACAATTCCATGGTCCTGACATGTGCTCTCATGGGATCTGGTAAGTGTATCTTCATCATCTAATGTCCATTAATATAACAGTGATGTTAAATATTAAGCATACAGTAATACTAAATACTGACTTTGCATTTAAAAAGCATTAGACAAGATAGCTGTAATTATACTAATTTGTATTACTTCATTGAAAGGTACAGTGCTTATAATGTTTTGTCAGTTTTGCATGCCTGTATCTGCTAATCTGAGCAACTACATGGAAGATAACAATATGTAATATACTAACCATTGTTAATTTCTTATCGTTTTGTTTGGAAATTCTCTATCATTTTTTTTTTTTCTTTAAAACAAAATATAGGGGCCAAGAAGATGGCTCAGTGGAATAAGCACTTCCCTGGCAAGCACAGGGGCCTGAGTTAAATCCCCAGTTCTGCCAAAAATATAAAAATAAATATAAAATAAAATATAAAAAGCATTGGAAATCAATTTTTGGAAATGAGATTACTTTTACCCAAAATATTAACAAAAGATTCTCAGTACTAGAAGTATCATAAAAATAGGTAAAAATCAAATTAATAATTACAAATTTGACAAGCCCTAAAATGTTTTATATAAAGAACAGATTCTGATTTTATGTAGTATGATACCAACAAAGGAATTTGTTCAAGAAATCATTAGTTTAATACTGTACATGGACTTTATAAAATATTGTATCTTTCTGTTGCATAGAGTACAGTGCCAGTTAGACTCTGTTAAGAGTGGTATCAAAATTTCTATATTTTTTTGCTGTTTTTCTGTCAACTGGTGAAGAGTATTGTAATTGTAAATTTGTGCTTTGCTCTTTATTTCTATCAGGCTTTTTCTTCACATATTTTTCTATTCTGTAGTTAGATGCATGGAACATTATGATTGCTGTCCCATCTTACATTAACCCTTCTGTAATATCCCTCTCTATCTCTTAATTTTCCTTGCTCCAAAATCTTCTGTTACTTGCCTTTTGAAGAACACTTTCTTCTTTTTCCACCCTTCAGTCTGAATCTGTTGTATACAGTTGAAATGTCTCATAAATAATACATGTTTGACTCATTTTATGATACACTGTGCTGAGGGCTTTTATTTAGACTACTTACAGCTAATGTAATGATTGATATGTTATGACTTAGGCTACAGTTTTATTTTTGTTTTCTCTTTTGTTCTTTTTATTTCTCTAGGTTGCTTAAAAGTTTTTAGTCCCTTTACTCTCCCATGTTTATAATTGTCTCAAATATTTTTTCTGTATTTAGAACTAAGTGTTATAATTTTGTTTCATCTATCATAATTCAAAATACTCTTTAAAAAGCCTACTGTATTTACCCACTTTTAAAATTTGTTTTAAAATTTATTTAAAAATCACTCCCTTCCTATATAGAGAATTCCCTTAGTATTTTGGGTCAGAGTGCTAGCATTGTATTCTCTTGATTTTCCCTTGTTTGAGAATGTCTTAATTTGCTTCATTCCTGAGAAACACTCTCCCTGAACAGGATTCTGGGTTCATACTACTTTTTTCTGTTCTTGAAAAAATGTTGTGCCATTTTTCTCTGGTCTCTTCTGGCATTCATAGTCTCTGTTGAGAAATCCACTGCATTCCTATTTCTTTTTCCCCCTGAGGATAACATATCATTTCCATCTCTCAAGGCATTCATCTTCTTCATTAATTCTCAGAAGTTTGACTGTGATGTCCTCTAGTACGGAATTTTTTTTTTTTTTTTTTTTTTTTTTTGTGGGATGGGGATTATCCTTTGTGAAGTTTGCTCAGATTCTTGAATTTGTAGGGTTCTATTCTGTTGTAAAGCTCACTGATTATTTCCTCTGTTCCCTCCATTCCATTGTTGAACGTATTGCATTTATTTCAGTTACTATTCTAAAATAATGATTTTTTGAGTTGTAAGATTTCCACTTGCTTCTTCTGTTTCCTTGTGGAAATTTCCTAGTTCTTAAAATTTGTTTTGAGCATATTCATAGTTATTGAAGCATTTTTTTAGTTGCAGTTAAAATACACTGTAATTTGTGTAGTTTATATATTTGTGTTGTTACTCTTCCAACCAATTTTAAGTGTGCCCCAGTGACAGTAAGTACATTCATGTGACTATGCAACTATTACTGCATATTCACCAGAGTATTTTCCCAAACTGAAACTCTGTTGAGCTATAATTTCTTATTTACCCTTATCCCTTCCTCTGGCTGCCACAGTCCTGTCTTCCATCTCTGAATTTCTACTGTTGTGGATATCTCGTGTAAGCAGAGTGATAAAATATTTGTCCTTTTATATTTAGCTTACTGTATTCAGCATATATATTAAAGGCTTATCAGTAATGTAACATGTCAGAATTTCTTTCTCTTTTATTTTTTAAGGTTTAGTGTTCCATTATATGTGTATGTTATCATTCTTCCGCTAGTGGATATTTGGGTTGTTTCCATCTTTTGGCTTACTTATGAATAATGCTGTTGTGAACATTGGTGTAAAAATAAAGTAAAAACCCCTGCTTTTGGTTATATACACAGAAGTACAATTACTGGATCATGTGGAAATTCTGTGTTTAATTTTTTTAAGAAACTGCTGCATAGTGGCTGTCAAGTAACTTTTCTGCCAGTGGTACACATGGGCTCGTTTCTCAGTGTCCTCACCACCACTTACTATTTACTGTTTTTCTGCTCTTAACCATCTAAATGTGTGTGAGCTAGTATCTTACTATGATTTTTATTTGCATTTTATTTGATTAGTAATGTTTAGGGACCTTTTCATGTGCTCACTGGTCATTTATAAATCTTTTTATGGAAAAATGTATACTCAAGTAATTAGCCCGTTTTTAAAATTCAGTTTTTTGTTTTGCTTGTTAGTTGCAGTCAAAGTACACAATGTTCTTTGATGCACAAATTTTTTTTTTATTTTGATGAAATCCACTTTGCTATTTTCTTTTGTTACTTGTACTGTTGGTGTCATATCTAAGAAATCAGTATTAAATTACTGTCACAAAGTTTAAATTTTATTTTTTATATAGTATAAGGTTAGAGGTCTGTTTAATCTTTTGCACATGCATATTCAGTTTACTCAACACCATGTATTGAAAGTACTCCTTCAGCTTCAGTGGTCTTGGATGCCTTCCTTGAAATCTTCAACCACACATGTGAGGATTGATTTTTGGTCTCCCAATTCTTTCTTTTTTTTTTTTTTTTTTTTTTTTAGTTCATTTTAATAAGAAAAAAAGATTAAATAGCCATTAAACAGTTTCAAAATAGGTTAGTAGGACAGTTACAATAATTAATACATTGCATATTATTGTCTTTATAATAATTATTCATATGCATATTATGCTAATATGAAACATAACATTCATATTATGTTATGTTCCTACGTGCAGTAAATGACTGAACTTCATGTTTGAATGTAGTAAACTTTGGACTATAGAATTTGGTTTTTTTTTAATTAATAAGTACAATTTATTTGATTTATTACAATTCTTATAAAGATATTATTGTGCTACTGCTATAATTTTTTTTTTCCAAGAATTGCACCTAGTTTTATAGCTACATTTCATCAAAATACATGTTTTGGGTATTTTTTAAGTAGATAATATAGTAAGCTTAGAACTTCCTAACATAAGGCCTGTTACCTTGCTTTTGTCTTCTAGAATCTCTACATAAAGAAGTGCAGGATTTGGCCTTTCTGGATGTTGTATCCAAACTTCGCAGTCATGAAAACAAAAGCGTTGCCCAACAGGCATCTCTCACAGAGCAGAGACTGGCAGTGGAGAGCTGAGAACTGCCCTCCCCAACATGTGGCGCTTCCCAGCTCTGATCCTCCTCCCTCTGTCCTCCATCCACCTGCCTCTCCCCTCCATTCTCTACCACATCACTTGTGCATGCGTGTAATGTTCCATTATCAATTGAAGACTGCTATAGGTACCTGCCTAATAAGATTTCTAAACTCATAGTGTGAACACGACTGTCCAGCAGGTCTCTACCCATAATTGTTCTCTTGTATTACTGTTGCTTGAGCTACATTAAGTAGAATGTGCATGTTGTAGTCCTTTGATGATGTAACTTGATACTACATAATGACTTGCTCCTCACATGTGATAAACTACATAATAATGTACCGGTAAATTAGAAACAGGATGTAGCAAGATCTGTCTAGCTTAAAGATGAATTTGAATAGTAAAAATAGCTCCATTTTTGGTGCTTGGGAAGCACAGTGACCAACCCCCCCAAAAAAGAAAAAACTATGGCTGCTCACTCATTAGTCTTGCCTACTAGTGTCCAGCCCATGGTACCTAGCATTAAATGAAATTCCAGTGCTCCCACTGTATGCTGTGGTTCTTCCTTTTTCCTAAGTGTGTAAATTATTGCAACTGCCACAAACTTGGCAAGACCTCAAGAGGTGTGATTCCATATTTGATTGACAGCCAAATGTTGAAAACATTTATAGTTTTCAGTGTGATTAGAACCAAGGGTGATAAAGAATCCCTATAACACTGTATCATTTTGCCTATATTTTAGATTCTGATATATGTATAATTTCACCTCAGAACTTCATCTGTTGTCAAGCACTTGTCTTTAAAAAGTCATTTGGTATTTGTTTTCAACTGAGTATAGTCCATTGGGAAATTATTTTTTTTTTTAATCATTCATATTGAAAGCAGGAAATTTCATCTTTCATAGTCTGTTTAGGAGGGAAGAGAAGAATAAGTTTGCCAGTACTATAGAAAGAGAGGCAGGTTAAAAGCCATAGTAACTAGTCCAGTTGCATTCTGCTGACAGCCTCGTACCAATCACCGTTGGAGTTTTTCACCTACACTTTTCCCCCAAAACATGTGACTCTTACAGGCTAGAAGAAAGCCAAGACATGGTAAAGAGCCCCTTAGCAAGCAGTATACTCTTCACTGCCACTGCCACCACCAAATGGGTTTTTAGAGCCTTGACACAGTCTTTGTAAATTAAATCAGACATCCCTGGAATTCCCTTGTGTTCAACTGATACCTAGTTTGACAACTACTGGCCTCATAGGGAGGGTGGGGCATTTTCCCACAGGACTGGAGAGGGCAACATGGGTGGCAGAGGGGGCACAGAGCCCCTCCCCTCCAGCAAACCCACCCCCACCCCCACCCTATCACTAGGCAATCTGAGCTAGAGTTCTGACTCTAGAACAGCTATAATTGAAGACTCAGTCTTTTGACTCTTTCTTTGATGTCCAAATAAAGGGACTATTATGAGTGCTTATGGTATATGTACTGTGAAAATGACTTTGTTTATTGTCTTTCTGCTGGGCTGCATAATGGGCTATATTTTGTTAGGTTTTGAAAGATATCTGTAATGTTGCATAACAGACTGTCCATATTAATAACTTAATAAATAATATATCATACTACAGTGGCATCACTTGATTTATTTTTATGTTTCATCTGTATTTCCAGCTCCTAGGACAGTGTATGGTCACTTGTTGGTGTTCCATATATGTTGAAAGAATGAATTCGTCCATAAAATTTCCAGGTTGCCTGAACTAATTTCAGATAGACTAATTGAGAGAATTTGACACTTTGAGAGTATAGCTTGAGATAAATATTTTAATAGTAGTCTATGCTTTTTGAAAAGCAGTAAACTGACCACCCTGTGTCTGTAGGATCTGTCTGGTCCAACACCAGGTGCAGCATGAGTCAGACCCTCTTCCACGCCTTTGAGACCACCACCATCACTCCAAAGCCCCTCCACACCTACCGAGTGAGTGAGAACTCCCAAAGTCTTGAGACACCCAGATCCAGCCCTAGCCCAGGCCAGGTGAGGGTGTGGGAGAGCTTGCTCTCTCCTCTACTCCCCATTATCCCCTTCACACTCAGCTCAGGCCTGGCATACATGCCTGGGGTGAAACTCTGCAGCTGCTGTCCCTGCAGAGAAAATAGGGGACATAACCACCCAGCTAGTCCAGGAGCAGAACATCTCGCCAGAAGGCACAACAGGTTAACTCACAAGGGCTGTACCAGGAAAGACCTGAGCACAGCAGCCAAACCCAAGCCAGGCACAGCTGGATACATTCAAACTTCATAGATCTGCACTTGAATTTCATTAGGTGCTAAGGTTGTAACTGCATCAAGGCTCTACAACAAAGGTCAGAAAACAGTGCTATACAAAATGACGAGAAGGAGCAAAATCTCAGACCCCAAGCCCACCCATAACAAGTGCAGAGGCCACTAGCACAGAATAACTTGCGAAACACACAGCTGAGATCAGTGAATCAAGAGCTTCTGAAATAACTGAAGAAAGGTATAGAGGAACTCAGATTGGAATTTTTAAAAATCTGAATAGCATCTGAAGTAAAGAATCAAATGCACAAACATATGGAGGAAACTCAATGTCCACCCAGAAAAAGTGCAGAAGACACTAGCTCAGCTCAAATGTAGGAATTAATAGTGTCAAAAATAAGCAACAGCAGAAAGATATAGAGGAACTCAGCATAATTAATTTCTGAAATAAAAATCTGAACTCAGCATCTGAACTAAAGAATCAAATACAGAAACATGGAGGAAACCAGATCTGAAAAGAAACTAAAAGAACTGCTTCTAAAGAAGACATTGATTTAAAAAAAAAAAAAAAAGATTAGAAGGATGACGGATTCCTTGAATGAGCAATCCAGGAAAGAAATGAATCACATGATGCAGTCAAAGAGATATAGAGGAACTTAAAATCTCAACCACAAGCTTGCAAAACGGTTTAAGTGAAAGTGAAAAAGAGTTTCAGATTTTGAAGTCACTGGTGCAGCTAGTGAAAAGGTAAGAAAAGATCTCTTAAAAAAAAAAAACTAGGATGCTGGAAAAAATAATCACTTGTAAGAATGCGAAGATGAACAATGTGAGACTAATAGGCATCAATGAGAAAGATAAGAGTCAATACAAATGACAAAAAAATATGGGCAGAAGTAATAGTAGAAACTTACCAAGTATGAGGAAACAATCTGAAATCCAGGTAACCGAAGCATACAGAATGCCAAGTAACCTCAACACAATTAAAAGCACATCAAGACATATAATACTCAAGATCTCAGAAATCCTGCACAAGAATAATATACAGAAAGCTGCCAGAGAAAAGAAGCAGATCACATTCAAAGGAAAACCCATCAGAATTACGGCTGACATCTCTTTACAAACCATGAAGGCAAAAAAGAGCATGGAGCACAGTACTTCAAGTCCTCTATGTAAACAAATTCCAGCCCAGACTACTATACCCTGCAAAACGCTTTTTCAAGTTTGATGGAAAAGTGAAATACTTGCATAACAAAGAACAACTAAAGAATATCATGATGACAAAACCAACCCTACACAGGCTTCTGAAAGATGTTCTAGAGAGGGACCAAAATGAGCAGAACTCCAAAAACAAGAACAGCAACCAACTAAATAGGGCAAACACAGAAGAAAAAGGAGTAAACAGCAGGTAAATAACATGTCAATCGTAAGTCAATACATCTCAATTATAACCATCAATGTAAATGGACTCAGTTCACCAATTAAGAGAAATAGACTGGCACAGTGTATTAGGAAACAAAATCCAACAATATGCTGTATACAAGAAACACATTTAACTCAGACATTCATAGACTGAAAGTCAAAGGATGCAAAACAATACTACACGTCCCAGCACCTCAGAAAAAAGCAGGGGTAGTAATCCTGTTCTCAGTCTCAACTTCAAGAACAATCAAGCAAAAGAGGGCCACTGTATACTGGTTAGGGGAAAAATTCAAGAGGAAGAGGTAACATTCATATGTATACACCAAACATGGGCGCACACAACTATATAAAGCAAATCTTAATGGACATGAAAAATCTAATATCCAATACAAGAATCTTAACAGGAGACCTTAACAACCCCTTATCCCAAAAAGCTAGGTCAAGCAAGCAAAAAATTAGCAAAGAGGTAACAATTGAACCAGAGCTTGAAACAAATGGGCTTAGTGGACATATACAGAGTGTTCCACCCAAACACATCTGAATACAGATTTTTCTCAGCTGCACATGAGTCATTTTCTAAAATAGACCACATACTGGTCCATAGGTCATGCTTAAGTATATGGAAGAAAACAAATTATCACATGCATATTATCTGACCACAGTGCAATGAAACTGGAAATAAACGACAAAAGAAATCAGAAAAGCCCCATAAATACATGGAAATTAAACTTAATACCCTACTCAACCAATGGGTGACAGATGAAATTAAACAAATTCAACAATATCTACAATTCAATGAAAATTCAAACACAACTTACAGAAATTTGTGGGACACGATGAAAGCAGTTCTCAGAGGGAAATTCATAGCTGTGAACTCAAACATTAGGAAAACAGAACAGAAACAAATAAACGCCCTAATGCTGCACCTCCAGCATCTAGAAAAGGAAGAGCAAACCAAACCCAGAACCCAAAGACGAGAAGAATTCATTAAAATTAGAGCAGAAATTTATTCAGTTGAGACGAAGAAAACACTTCTCAAAAGAATTAACGAATCAAAAAGCTGGTTCTTTGAAAGATTAAATAAAATCGATAAGCCCCTAGCTTACCTCATCAAAAAGAGGAAAGAAAAAATTCAAATAGAAGCAATAAGGAATGAATAGTGTGTAATCATCACAGACCCAGTGGAAATTCAGCAGATTATAGCTACTGTGAAAATCTTTACTCTCACAGAATAGAAGACACAGAAGAAATGGACAGATTCCTAGAAAGGTAGAAATTACCAAACTGAATCAACAAGATACAACCACTCTCAGTAGCCCAATAACAGCCAATGATATACTAGATGTAATAAAAAACCTACCGAAAAAGAAAAGTCCAGGTCTGGTGAATTCACAGCTGAATTCTACAAGAAATTTACAGAGATTTAGTCCCCATACTCCTCAAACTCAATGAAATTAAAAAGGAAGCAATCTTCCCACAATCATTCCTGGAGGCAAGTATTATACTGATACCAAAACTAGGGAAAGACGCAACTAAGAAAGAGAACTACAGGCCAATCTCTCTCATGAACATAGATGCCAAAATCCTCAATAAAATACTAGCAAATAGAATACAGCAAATCATCAAGAAGATCACACACCACGACCAGGCAGGATTCATCCCAGGAATGCAAGGATGGTTCAATATTTAAAAATCCATAAATGTAATACACTGTATCAATAGAGCAAAAACTGAAAACCATATGATCATCTCCATTGATGCAGAAAAGGCTTTGACCAAGTCAAACACTCATTCATGTTCAAAATCCTACAGAAAATTGGAATAGATGGCCTCTACTTCAATCCGATAAAAGCCATTTATGAAAACCCAATAGCTAGCATAATCCTAAATGGGGAAAAACTGAAATCTTTTACTCTTAGATCTGGTACAAGACAAGGATGTCCTCTACCACCCCTCCTATTCAGTATAGTTCTGGAATTATTAGCTAGAGCTACTAGGCAAGAGAAAGAAATAAATAGAATAATAAGAAGTTAAATTATCATATTTGCAGATGACATGATACTTTACTTGGAAGACCCAAAAAACTCCACCAAGAAGCTACTAGAATTAATACAGAAATTCAGCAGCATAGCAGGATATGAATACCCAAAAGTCAATAGCATTCCTGTACACAGATAACAAACACACTGAGAGGGAAATTAGAGAAACAATACCTTTTACAATCATACCATGGAAAACGAAATACCTTGGAATTAATGTAACTAAAGAAGTCAAAGATCTTTTCAAGGAAAATTACAGAAATCTTAAAAAAGAGATCATAGAGGATTTCAGAAAATGGAAAGATATTGCATGCTCAGGGATAGGAAGAACCAACATTGTGAAGATAACCATACTCCAAAATTGCTGTACAGATTTAATGCAGTTCCTATCAAAACACCACCAACATACCTCTCAGACCTAGGGAAATCGTTCCTAAAATTTATTTGAAACAGAATAGACCTAGAATAGCAAAGGCTATCCTGGGCAACAAAGACAAGGCAGGAGGCATTACAATTCCTGATTTGAAATTACACTACAAGGCTACTGTGACAAAAGCAGCATGGTACTGGCAACAAAATAGACCTGAGGATCAATGGAATAGATTAGAAGATACCGAAGCCTCTACAAATAGACTCAGCCACCTGATCTTTGACAAAGGGGCTAAACATACTAACTGGAAGAAAGACAGCCTCTTTAACAAATGGTGATGGAAAAACTGGCTCTCTACATGTCAAAAACTAAAATTTGACCCAGGTCTATCACCATGCACTAAGCTAAAGTCAAAATGGATCTAAACATTAAAGCAGAGACACTAAATCTCCTGGAAGAGAAAGTAGGAGGAACTCTTGAAGACATAGGGGTAGGCAAAGACTTCATGAACAAAAATCAAATTGC